ACAAAAATAATCGCTACTCAGATCTGGAATAATTCATGGACCATAAATGGCCCATTTATCATCATCTGTTAAATAATTACTTACTACGTTGCTCTTGAGAAGTGCCTGAAGATTTTTTTTGAGAGTTTCCCTCCATAACATTTAAAAGAATGAATCCCCATCTATAGTCCCACTGTCAAGAGATTTCTTGAGGCCATATATTCATTTGTATGCGTGTGTTGCAGGGCATTATGGAATACCTCATGAAGTTTGCTGACTGTTTTGGCAGGGCTACAGGTGCAGGAGTTCCAATGTTCTGTCCCACAGGCACAGTTCCCGCCACAGCGCTTCACCAAGAGGCATCGTGGGAAAAACACTGCATTGGTGGCCTTCAGTTCCTCCCGCAGATTTATGGAAAAGTTACGTGGTGTGCAGCTGTACAGCCTCACCTCCTCATACATACGATCCAGATCAACTGTCAGTCAGACAGAGACAAAGGTAACGAATGTGTGCAAGTTTGTGCATATGTGTGGGAGCTTGTCATGCACGTCAGTTATTACGCTACCTCTGGCTTCTTTGATTGTAATTCCTGATCACAACAAGCCCATACACACACACACACACACACACACACACACACACACACACACACACCCCTTACACAACTGATTAGGAATGTATGCCCTCTGGTGCCTCAAAGTGTTTGTGCATGTGTGTAGGGTGTAAGTGAAGGGAGGAGGACACACAGTTGAGTGATCTAATAAAAACCAAGTGAAGAGTTAACTATTCTTTTCCACTCACACTTTGGAAAGAATGTAGTAGTCCAATGAACAACTAATGTCAACTAACTACTTTGATTTTTTTTTGCAGTAACATTTAGAAAATAGTGAGGCAAAAGTGTCTTATTATGCTACTTTACTTTGCCTTAACCACCGTGATTTGCCTAGTGTACTGTGGACAGCAGCTCCAAGCTTTACGCAGTGGATCAGAGCCTGTACCACCAGCTTTACCCTAGTGAAATTTGGGCCTGTACCATCAGGTTTACCCAGAACTGTGACTCTACGATTGGCTTCACCCAGAAGATTGGAGTCTCTAGCACCAGCTTTACCTGTGGGATTGGGGATTATGCCACAGAGCTTTTAAAAAGGGGATCAGGAACTGTAAGACTGACTGTTCCTAGGGAGTTGTAGCCTATACTACCAGCTTTGCCTTGTGAAAAGTGGCCAAATATCACAGGTTTAATCTCAATCGGATCTAATCGGACTATACAAACATCTTTACCTTGAGAAATGTGGTTTTTATACTACCAGCTTGACCCAGGGGGTCTATACCACCAGTTTTACATGGGGATGGCTTGGACCACAGGTTCCCAACCCTAGTCTTGGTGTACACAACACACCTGATTCAACTAATAAGCTACTTAACAGTCTTTCCTAAATTGGAATGGATGTGTTGTGAGCAGGGAAAACACTCAAATGCCCAGGACATGTGGTGCTCCAGGACCAGTGTTTGGAACCTATGACAACCAACATCACGTAGACCAATTGTGAGCTGTACCACCAAGCTTTGCACAGGGCATTGCCTTTACCCAGGGGACTCAGGGTCTGTACAACCAGCTTTAACCTGAGAATTGAGAATTGTTGCCTGTATCACTAAGATTTAACCATGGGATTGGGGCTTCTGCATTGGCTTTACCCAGAGGAATCGAAGCCTGTACAACCTGATCTGGGACTTGATTTGTGGCCTGTACCACT